CCCCACTCGCCCCCCGACCCCTCACCTCCCCGTCTCCGTCCCGCCCCCCGCCTCGGCGTGGGGACCCGCCCCTGCGTGCCGGGCGGAACCCGGTGCCCAAAGCAACCCCGAGTTCTGGCCCTGGGCCCGCGGGTTAACGCTTAACCTCGGTCCGGGAGCCCAGGCTCCAGCTGCGTCCCCATCCCCAACCTCTGGCTCCGCCCGCCCAAGCGAGGGGGGGAGGGCGGAGGAGGTGCGGTGAGTCCCACAGGCCCTCCTCGCCCGGCCGGGACCCTTCCTCCTGCGCCCCCCGCGCTCCGACCCCGGGCGTCCTAGGCTGGGCTGGGGGGCGGGGGCGGGGACGCCGGCCCGCCTGGACACCGACCGTGCGCCAGAATCTGCCGAGGGGCGGGGGTGGCTGTGGGCTCCGGAGGTGCTCACCGTTCCTGGGTAAGTTCTCACGGGCTACTCGCTCCGTGCTGGCCGCTACAATAGAGGTATCCGGTGTCCCGGGAGCGGGGAAGGGGAAGGATGAACGTTGGCGGCGGGGGCGGCGTGGGAGACGCCCTGTGGAGGGATCGCCTTGCAGGCATTCCTGCCTTCCAGGTGGGGGAAGGCCTTGAGCTGGGGCGTGGAGGTGAGCAGCGGGAGTGGAGGGAAGTCCTGGGAGACGGGGTTGAGGAGGGCGCCCTGCCGGGAGTCTGGGCTTTATGGCACGGGCAGCATTCGCGCGCTGCGACAGTCCCACCCTGCCCTGCACCTTGGCCTGCTGCCGCTCCGCGGAGGACTCCACAAAACGCCATCACAGTCATCAGGCCCTGACCCGGCGTGGAAGCGCGGAGGAGGCCTCGCACCAGCTATGCAGGTGGACACCCACCTGCAGTGGGGAGGGCTAGGAGAGGCCTGAGGGTGCCAGGCGGGGGCGGCGCCACCTGCGCAAGCTCACAGGAAGGACCCGTGGTGGGAGCAGACTGCAGGGGGACCAGAGGGGTTGAGGTGGGGGGGAGGGGCAGGCCGGGGACTTGTGGCCAGGTGATCAAGGAGCTTGGACTACATGCCAAGGACAGTGTGGCGCCGAAAGAGAGTTTGATGATGCCGTCTGAGACCTGCTCAGATGAGGGTTCCACAGAGCTCCAGGTGCCAAAGGGAGTAGATGGGGGAACAGGATGGGGGGGATGGGGGAATAGTCAGGTGTCCAACCAGAGGCCCTGAGCTGGAAGAGGTGGGGGCAGAGGATAGGGAAGGGGTGGGCTGGGTATTCCCAGTTTGCTGCCCAGACCTGCCCTCCTCCCTCCACACCCTGCCCTGTGCTCCTGGACAGCCCCATCCCCCACGGGCTTCCGGATGAGTTTGGCCTCCTGCCCAGAGGTTGGGGAATTTCCCCAGCTCCCTCCCTGCTGGGCACAGACCTGTCCTCTCCCTGTGGCCTTTCCTACCCTCTCAGGGCTCTAGGCCCAGCCCCTGCCAGGGGTCCTTACCACCCTGCTGGCTTCACCCACCCCTGTCCCCACCTTGGTAAATGGCCCTTCCTAAAAGTCCTTTTCTCTTTTTGCGTCTTTCTCTGCCAGGACCCTGGCTTCCTCCAAGGTGAGGGAGGGGGAGCCGGGCATGGTGCCCAGTGGTCACCTGGGCCCCTGCTGTCACTGGGGAAAGGTGAGCAGGTGTGTAGGGGTCAGCAGTTGAGAGTTTGACCCAGCGGGGTGGAGAGACCTGAGGACGCTCGAGTGAGCCATCCAGTAGCGTCTGGGAGTTCAGGACAGAGCTGGGGGAGCCGCTCTCGGCATCGTCAGTTGTGGTCGCTGCTCAGAACCACAGGGAGGGGTAGAAAGAACAAGGTGGACCTAGCCAGGAGCCCGA